GAAAATACAACGGGTTTTCTAATTTTAAGTATGGCTTTTCCTGCCAAGTCTTCGTTATACCGGTTATACTGAACATTTGAACATTGTAATGTTCAAATGTTCAAATATTTGAATGTTCAAATGTTATAATGTCCAAATGTCAAATGTTCGAATATTCAATATTCACAATTCAAATATGCAAAAATATTCACATATTCACGAACATCCCAAAAATGTCAAGGATATTCGTTTACTATTTTTGATTCTAACCAGCTATGCTAATTTTAACTAAAAAAGGAAACTTCTAGGCTTATACAAATAATGTGAAAAAGGTAAAAAGAAAAATAATAAAAAATAATAATAAAATAATAAAATAATAAAAAAAATATAGACTAAGGTTATTCGGCCACCCCCACAATGTACGTACCTATCAGCAGTAGAGATGTTACGGTCCGTTAAAGACCGGGTTTTGAACTGGTTCATAGACTGGTCCAATCAGTCCACAGTCCATAATTTAGGACTGGTCTATATATCGGTCTATTAATATTTGTCACTTTCATAAAAATATTAATGAACTTGGACAATAGCATTATTGCTATATAATGTATAACTAGTAAAATCTTGTATGATCTGCGATTTTAAAGTGGCAATGCTATATAATATACGTATGTATGCACAATATATGATATCTGCTTCACTGCACAAAATTAAGTATCCAATCAGAAGGCTATAATCAAACCAGTTCGGACCGGTTCATGGTTTTTGGTCTGATCTGTGGTCCAAAGGCCAAACCGGTCTTTTTGAACTAGGACCGAACCAGACCGAACCGTAACATCTCTAATCAGCAGTGATAATTTTCACTGTGCAGACCTGTGCAGCACATAGAAACAAATTTTTTCGCACTTTTTCCTTTTGAATATATTTGCGGATGCCGTACAGACATTTTGTAAGTAGTGCTCAAATTCTACCGCACCGATAGAAACTAAAGGAATTTTTAAATTTAAATTTCGAAATTAGGTCAAGTTCTTGTAATTTTCTTATTTGGAAGATGTCGGGAGAGCAATTTTACCTCTAATTCTTGCTCAATCCCTAACCCTAATTTTAGTTGCTTCACTATAAATATACTTCCAAATAAGGGGTCGGGTTAAAAAGTGTTACGTTTTTAGAGTTACCTTTTTAATATTTTAGGTTAGCGTTAGTAGGCCATTTATATATCAAGAATACAATTTATGCAGTATGTAGATTATAGTTTGACGAAACCTCGAGGTTTCGCGCTGATGAAAACGCGAAACCTAGTTTCGTCTTTCGTCAATTAAAATCTTAAATGACGAAATGACGAAACTGACAAAAGGTGACGAAACTGATGAAAGGTGACGAAACTGATGAAAGGTGATGTACTGACAAAGGTGACTAAACTGACGAACCTGTAAAGGGTGACAAAACTAATAAAGACGAATATACAAATAAATGGTGTTGAAACCAGCAAAAAAGATTTGAAATTTTTTTTGTTCTTCGGGAACATAAGTTATTAAATTTATGTTCCAAAAAAATTTTAATGTTCCTATAATAAAATAATAAATATATGGGGTGTCCCATATTAAAAGGGACCATTTTGCAATTTTTTCGAAAATGAGTTTTTATTAGATTCATGTAAATTTTGACACGACTGACATTTTTCAATTATAAATGAAAGTCGATTTGCATAATAAAAAATAGAGATAATGTAAAAGAAAAATTACACGAGGCTTCCTAAGGCAAAGCACATCACGAGATTACCTGATAGTCATTTGTTACCTTTAACCAATCAAAATCGTGAAATTTGATCGATCCCGGATCAGTCCGAAAATCAATTAAACTCAATTATCTCAAAATGAGATATATGTCAAAATGGTCCCTTTTAATATGAGGCACCCCATATTCTCTCTCCTTAATATATATAGTAACATAAATAATAACTCTAATTTTCTCACATTGTTCCTAAAAAGGAACATAAATTTTAAATCTAGTGTTAAATTTTTTTTAATGTTCCCAAGAACATTGGGAGGAACATTAAATCTTTAACGCTGGTTTAAGATTTTGTGTATAAAAAATAAACTAACAAAAACAGAAATTTATAAAAATTACATTGTTGAAATGTTTAAAGGGAGTTAAAAATGAGTATTCTATATTGTATTATACTAGTATGCTATATATAAGTTCTAGTGAGAAATCGCTTTGTGCTTACTTCGGGATCTTAAAAACTTATTTTGTGCCAGTGAGTATTTGTGTTATTTATGAATACTATGGCTTTTTAACACAACCAGTCTATAACAACTCTAGAGTTGTCTAGAAAAATGAATTGGATATTTTTGCTGGCATACAGTACATGTAATTCGGATACTGGGGCACTGGTCTCTGAAAAATTATGAATGTTAATTCAATGAAATACAAATTTTTATTTTTATTTTTATAGAAATAGCACTAGATTTTTGTCTTTTCTGAGTATAGGGTTTCGTTTCGTCTTTCGTCAGAAAAATTTGGGTTTCGACTTTCGTCAGAGGCTTGTCTTTTGGGGTCTAGGTTTCATCTTTCGTCATCATGCGAAAAAGGTTTTGTCTAGCAACTATAATGTAGATCAATATATGAAATCTGCTTTAATGCACAACGTTGTCCAGATAATGTTTGAGTGGTATTCGAAACTTTATAGTAAGAATCATTTGATTGGTCAATAATTTATTTTTAATCATTTTATTCATAGATAAAAGCCAATAATATGTACAAATGACGATATTAATGGAATTTGCTCAAACATCATCATTAATATGATTTTCTAATAATTGTAGTGATGCTAATGCTCAACAATAGATCAAAATAAATACCAATTACTACTTGAGATAATTCTAAATAGTTTACAAAATTTTGCAAAAAATGTGTGTCGATTGTTAACTATCCTGATACTGACAAATTTTGAACAGTCTACCCTCGTTTATATTATCAACCCATTTGAATTGATTTAAATTTATGTTGATAGTGATATTAACAAGGGATTATATTAAAAGTTGATATATATCAGGAAGTTTTAATATATAAAAATTTGTAAAAATTCATCTTATGGTTTAGGTTGATATTAATGAGGGTGATATTAACGAGGATAGACTGTATCATAATATTGTAATACTGTACAGTAATACAATATTGTGGCGTCAAGATCACATAAAAAGGCAACCCAATCAAATTCACGGATTCGGATACGCTTGCATACTCTACGTACTTTGTACTCCGTTCCTGGTAAGGGACCCCAAAAAAGGAAGTTGAAAAACGTTGTGGTAAAATTGATCGTTTCTCGTAGTTTTTTTTTTTTATTTGCGCACAGAAAATGTCTATAAATTGAGCGGTATTCACACAATAAATTTAATTAAAAATTAAAATTAACACTGCCTATCAGTTAAAAAATATAATAAGTATACCCAATTGATTGTATTTTGACCTGCGTATGCTAAGTCTTATAATTTTAAACTAAAAATTTATTACAGCATTTTAAATATTTCGTTTTATTCGATTTTGAAAAAGTTTAATCATCATAGGGCATACTTTATTATATCATGATAATATTACATCAAATAATGTTACATTATAGTAACGTTACACCAATGAGATTTATTTATTTGGGTTGTGTTCTTAGTACTATCGTTATATTCCGAAATTTGATTTTTACTAAATAAGTCTGTAGCTAAAAAAAGAAAGAAAAACAAAGCAAAATATTATCGTATCAAATGTCTATACACTATGCTAACACGTGTATTTAATCTATATTGATACGTATTTACAAATATGCTACATTGATTCAATAGCATTTATTATCTAGAATTAGACACATGCAAAACTTCAACGCAGTATGCAGCCTCAAATTCTGGCAAATTCTCACAAATACAGTTTTTTCTATTGTTTTCTAAATAAAAGATGTCAAAAGTTTAGTTCTCATGATATATATTAAATTTACAAAATTTACGCAATTCAACATTACCGCATAACTATCGATTAACATTATAATCCAAATGCGGTAAATAATGTGCATTTCCATAATATAATACAGCATGCCGCAATTTCAACAGAAATTTAGTAATTTTGACGTTAACCGTAATGTTGAGGATCTGAATATATCTGCAAAAAAAATTAATCATATGTATTAGTATTGTTGTATCACATAATAATTTGAAAAGGTGTAAAATTTCGTTGTGGAATAAAAGAAATTCTAATTAGAAGTCTCCTTCAATTTGGATATCACAATGTTAAAAATTATATGTTTCCCCATTTGCGAAATAGCATGAATTTAAAATTACATTCAAAACATGCCTAAGTCCACTAGTAGGAAGATCCAACTGTAATACAATGCGTACAAAAAAAATAGAAATTTTAATAAGATTTAGCGTTACAAACATAAAAAATTTTACTATTTAGGTTAAATTTATGATTTCGTCGTTCAAAGAACATAACAATATCAAATTTCGCAGAAAATCTTTTCTAAGTACACAGAAAGCAGCTTCATAGACTTATTAAATCATTCGATGAAATTTATTAGACTGTGAATGAATGTTATCTAAAATATATATACGCATATTTAGATAGCGTAGTATATGATATAAATAAACATTACCTGTTGCCTTGTGATGTAATAATTATTTAAGAAAAAAATAATATCGCCAAAAATTTTTTGTACTTTTTGTGGGAATATTTCATTTAAAAAATTTCAAATATTCCTTTTTTGTCAAATTAAAAATTACCGCATTTGGGGTGGTTTTTAAATTGAATTACTAACAATTTTTTGTAAATTAAAAATCACGTGACGCGTATAAATTATGGTTTTAGATGATCATCGTCGTTAACATTGACATCATCAATTTATGATTATTAATAGATATTTTTTTATGGAATATACGTAAATTTAACTATAAATACCTTGGACATACTAACACTATCCCGCTCAAGGTTTGGTCTTTTAAAAACCTTTTCTATAGCCTCTTCTAAAGCAAATATCTCAAAAAATGGCATTCTCCAGATTATTTACCAAGTTATTTGCTATCCTTCTCATTAGCAGCACTATTTGCTCTATTTATATAGCTGCTGATGTAGTTAAAGGCAAATGGTTTAATCGAATCGTTTTAATTATCTTTGAAAATACGAATGCATCCGTAGCTTTCGCGGATCCATATTTCCAAGGAATAACGAAGAGGCAAGATGGTGTCTATCTTTCCCAGTTCTACGCTGTAGCACATCCTAGTGAGGTAAGCTTTTTAGCTTCACTTATAATGCATCCCATTAAATTTAATTAATCACTTCCTTTTATTTAGCCTAACTATGTTGCACAAATTGCTGGCTCAACTTACGGAATTTTTGATGACAATAATTATGACATTAATGCTACTACTCTCGTGGACCTCCTTGAAAAAAAAAATATTACATGGAAGGGCTACATGGAAAATTATCGTAAGTTTTTATATAAATATTTTTTATAACATTAACACTATAATATGAGTGCCGCCAAAGGAAAACCTGTCAATTAAATTTGTATACAGTTAGCCGTCTATCATTATGAAAGATTTTCCATAGACGACTAACTGTACACAAAATATAATTGAAAATCCGATGACAGGTTATCCCTTGGCGGCACTCATATAATATTACACATGTACATTTACTCATATCTTTTCCTATACTAAAATTTTATCAATTTAAAAAACTTTAGCTGAAAAATGTTTCTTGAACGCAACTGTTGGTGCTTCCAGACTATATGCTAGGAAGCATAATCCCTTTTTCACTTTTACAACGATTACAAAAGATTCTAAGCGCTGTGCAAAGGTCGTTAACGGTAGTCGACTTGACGATGATATTGCGAATAATCAAGTGCCACAATTTGTATATTATGCTCCTAATCAAAACAACGACGCTCATGACACTAACATCACCTATGCGTCAAATTGGTTCAAAAGCTGGTTTGAACCTAAACTCAAAAAGAAATCATTTACCGAAGATACACTATTCTTTATAATTTTCGATGAAAGTGATAATGACAATGACACTGTCAATAATATTTATTCTGCTCTTCTTGGCTCCCCCGTCAAAAATAATAATGATCATAATGATACAACTAAGTATAATCATTATTCATTTTTACGCACTGTTGAGGACAATTGGGCCCTCGGTTCTCTAAATCGAAATGATTCAAAAGCAACTCCTTTTACCAAATATTTGGTAGAACTTAAATGAAATTATTAAAATATTATTTATTTTCTAACTTACAATTATTAATATTTTGAAATTATTAAAATATTATTTATTTTCTAACTTACAATTTTAATATTTTAATTATTTTTATATAATATAAAGTTACAGATGATCTGAGATTTAATGTCTCATTTAAATTTATAATTAATTCAAAATGATATTTTATTATCATTATTTATTATATCAGATATTTTGACATTAAAGTAGCAATGTTCACATATGTTTGACATTTGTAAAATCATGAATAAATGAGTAAAAATTTTTTAAATGATATTAATTTTTTTTTTAATATTAAATGATGCTTTGTCATGCAGATGTACCCTCATTGAAATTTGATTAGCTATGTTAATTGCTTTTATCGCTAATTGGACCTAAATCGAATTGCAACTTGATTTTCGTAATTATTAACACAATTATTAATAATAAACCTAATATAATTATTGCGTCAAGCCTATCACCTCACCTTAAAACCCATCTCCTAATTTTTTAAAGTCAATCTATTTACGGTATATATTTATTTATTAAAAATTTTAACTTAATTAACACATCCATAATATATGCGTCATAATTTTTAGAGCAATATAAATGTCTCCGTAATTAGAAGTGCGCATGATATCGCATGATATAATTTTGGAATTTATATATTCCCTTCGGAAAATATCGGATACTTGCTCAAATCTTACCGCTCTTCTTTTATGTTCATTCATTTCTTTTCGGAAGTTTCGAGACTTTTGCATCCATATTCCTTAATTCCGCCCAGCAATACGTTATTTGGCCTAAATTATATATACTTTAATTTTGGGGAAATTACAAATAAGGGCCTAAAATCGAAAATAATATAGATAGTGGCCTAAAATAATTACCGATAGACGATAGAGGCCTGATATTTGAAAATTATTACAAATAAGGGCCAAAATAATTCTGCGCTTAAAAACCCATGATTTAATCCCGTGATTCAATGTCTCGAATGTGACTCAAATATAGTATATAGTTAATAGTATATAGTTAATTGTAGTTAAATGTTAAGCGTTTAAGAACTGTAATGATAATAACCGATTAGTAAATTGAATATAAATTCAAATGTGCAATAAAAAGCATACTTTTGATCCATTCGATTCATAAATCCATTTATTCTTTGCACTTTAATATTGTCTCTTAATATAACTAAAAATCTAACATAATGTCAGAGTAATGTCAGATACAAAATTACAGATTGGCATGACTTTTACTAATAGGGAAAATGTTTGTTTGGCCTTAGACATATATTCTTTACCTTACAAGTTTAAAACTAATAAACCAGGCAAGTCACTTGCCGTTTGTCTCACGAATGAAGATAGTCCATGCCCATTTACTATTTCAGCTAACAAGCACAAAAATGGTTACATTCATATAGTCGAAAAGCATCGTGTCACACGTTTCTCATTTTGATTTTTGATTTTTGATTTTTTTTGGACAATGCCGGCATGTACTATTTAGGCCGGAGATGACTTTATTGAACTGTCAAAACGTCAGTGTGTTACATGGTATAAGTGACAGGCCGAGACGGCCAGATGCGGCAAAGACAACCCGAGAAATTTGCAATAATTATTGCGCTGGGCGTCGCTGTAGGAGTGTTGAGCCGGTGGTTTCCCGCTTTGCTAACGCAAGCCGGCTGTGAGCAGAGAACATATGAGAAATGCGAGCGAAGGAATGGTAGGATCACGTGGTCATCCAAAATTTATTGTGATTCTGCCATTCCTTCGCTCACATTTCTTGCATGTCATAGCTTGTGCCTGGTTTGTTTGTTGTCTGTTGGTTTTGTTTTTTTTTTTTTTTTTTTTTTATTTGTTTCTGTTTTTTTTTTTCGCTTCTTTGACCTAACATTTCATATGGTCATTTATTTATTCTCCCCGTTTTTTTTTTTTTTTTTGCTATTTATGCATTATTGAAAATTTATTATTTATTATTTATTAATTCGCCGCATATGACGATGTGACTGAGTTTCTTCCAATATAGTAAAGTTACGAAGTTACACGTTATATGCCTTCATTAGTATGTCTGCAATCATATTGGGATGTGCCCGAATGTATCGGTAGAACGCATCTGAGTTCCACCTGCCAATTTTTTGGATGATTATTGGCCGTACGCCGCGCATTACCAGTTCCGTTGTGCCACCAGCCCTGAAGCTGTGACCTGATACATCGGCTTTGGGTAGGATCGACTGAAGTCTATTGCGGAACCAACGTTTGGTTGCCCATGAGCCGTTGGCTCTGATGAACAGTGTTTCATTCCCTGGAGCATATGTTGAGCTTGTGCGTTGAATGATGTATGCTTTGAGGGCTTTGATGGGGCATAATTTGTCTCTGGTTGGATTTATTATCAGTGACGTTCTGTTTGCGGACTTATGGTTCTTGGTTCTTGCAAGTTGAATCGTAGCGAATGTTGCGGTATTTATCTTTTCAAATTTGAGTGACCTCACCTGTGGAACTTTGCTTTCATCAGTTTTATCATTCGGTAATAGTTCCCCAAGACGCGCCAATCCGTAGAATGCTGTCAATGATATTGACCAGAAAAGAAGATCATCTGGTTCTTTAATAGTCAGTGCATGTCTTATTTGATTCAGGTGGGTTCTAGTGACGTGCATTTTTTGCTTCACTGGCTTGTGTTTGTGGTTTGCATCTATTGTCTTGAGCATTTCCTTTACTAATGGGTCATTGCGTACTGCTGACCAATTATATGAATTTCTTGTATGGTGGAACTTTAGTGCGGACATGTATGAGTTAATAGTTGGAGGGGAAACTTCACCACTTAATAGCTTCACAAATTTTATAAGGGATTCTTTTGATATAGGCCACACGCTTCCATTGTCATTTTTCCATTGGTGCTTGTTGGCTAGCATGTGGTATCGCTTAATAATTGCTTCGTATGTTTTGTGTTTGGGTGGATCAATGTTTAGGATCTTTGCAGCCTGATGATCTAAAGTTGTGCTACCATTGAAACTAATTATAAACTTGTGTTGAATGTTGTTATTGTTGACTGCTGCTGGATTTTCCCGAATTCTTTGTTCGTGCCTGGTTGGTTTGTATAGTCCTATTGGGACAGTGATGGGATGGAAGAGACTATGTTAGTATATACTGGTGGAACATTAGGTTGGAGATAACGTGCTGTAGGATTTTTTATTAAGTATTCTTTATGTCCACATCGTGACAATAAATCTGCTTCTACATTTTGTTTCCCTGGTATATACTCCAGTCTGAGTGAGAAGTTTCTTTGGATTTGGGTTTCATATAATTGCGCTATAATTTTATTGATTCTAGAGTTCTTACAGAATCCTGCATAATATGCCTCGGCGTTTGCCATGTTGTCTGTCCATATTACTAATCTCCTCCTTGTCCACAGGGGTGAAAATGTACAAACTGCTATGAATGTTGTTAGCAGTTCTCGCTCCTGAATATCATGCTTTGCTATTACATCATAATCAGACCATCTAAATGATGTAAAATAATTTTCAAACGTTGCAACACCCCCAATATTAGATGCATCAGTATACATGTTGCATATCTCTGGTTCTAACCATGCTTGGTCCTCCATTAAGTAGGTGCCGGGCCATTTGTCTATAATGCTAATCCACCATTTGATGTCTTCAATCATGGGGTTTGTTATCCTTACATGGTGGTTTGGGTTCTTGACTAATTCCTGCGCTTTTATAAAGCGTTGTATAAAAGGTCTCCCTTGGGGAAGTACCTGACATATCCACCTAAAGGATCCAACAATAGACTGTAAATTCTTCTTGTAGCACCACCTTCTAGTGGTCCATTCTTCGAGAAGTTCTCGTATTTTCTGCCTTTTCTGTGGTGGGACTGATACAGACATTGTATCTGTATTTATCATAATTTCTAGAAATGTAATACAAGTGCTTGGTCTCTCTAATTTCGACTTCTTAAAGGGGATTTTTAGTATACTTAATATCCGCAGAAATTGCTGGAGTTCCTTATGGCCATCAGGCTTAGATATTATCAGAAAATCGTCCACATAGTGTATTATTGATCTGATGCCTTGCTGTATTGCAATCCATGTGATTACATCAGCGAATCTACAAAATATCCCCCAGAAGCTCTATTACCAAAAGCCAGAGCTTTATCAAAATAAATATCTTTCCCAAACTTCATTCCTTGTAGAACTTGATCAACTGGATGTACTGGCAGCATGCGATATGCATCCTGAATATCTACTTTTAACATCATACATCCTTTACCATAAAAGTTAATCCACCTTATTACATGCCCTACATTCTCATACTTTGTTATGAATTCTGTACGATCTATTCCATCATTTATACTATCACCAACTGGTGCTGACAAATAGGATATAACTCTAAATATTTTAGGATTGGTACCTTTTTTCTCAACTAGACCGCATGGATTTACTTGGAACAAATCACATGGTAGTTTTTCTTCTGAAAAAGGTTCACATATGCGATCCTTTCTATTTCATCATTTATGTACAGTATATTGTAAAAGAAGCTGTATCTAATTTGATTGATCTTAAATTTTCCTGAATTCTTTTTAACCAAGATCCTGAGAAGTTGAACCTAAAGCCTTCTGTAATTCCTTTTATCAAGTACTCAATAAAAGGGCGATTTGGGTGCTGGCTTGTTAGGGTTTTGAATGTATAAATATCTATCGAGGTCTTTACATTGAACTTATTAAGATCGATTTGTTGTAGTATAGCCAATTCCTCAGTAGTTAAAGGTATATCTCGTGGAGGAATGCTTGTCAAAGTTTCACTTGCTGATTGTAAAATTAGTGGTTCTCTTGTTGTTATATTACGCGAAAGTTTAAATTGAGATGCATGCCGAAAATCAGTTTTGTACCTATTGTCTGAATATTTATTTTATTAGTTTACTACTTATACTTTTTTTTTATCGTATTTATTTATTTAAGTATCAAAGCTATATATATATATATGTTTCTATATACGTAACTAACTAATACTGTCACTATATTATTGTTTTTTTTTTTTTTATGGATTATCTACATGTTCTTTTTGTTTGGACCCCGAATTGGATTTCGAAATATTTGAGAAGCACCTTCGTTCTTGATGACCTAGCTTTTTGCATGATAGGCATGCATGTACTCTTCCACATCTTTTGTCATCATAGCAATTTCTTCGGTTCCAATTTATGCAAATTTCTTTGCCGTCATGCCAGGTTGTATCACTTCTATATGTACGTGGTTTGTAGAATTTTGTTCTTTTCATTGTTGTTATATCAAAATTTTCTCCTTCCACTTCAATATTTCTTTCAAACAATGTTTTATCGCGGTCCATTACTAATGCCAAACATCGATCTTCATCATATGCTGTTACTGCAACAAACTCATGCTTAATGCATTGATTATTTATATGATTACGATAAAAATTTAACTCTTGCTCCTGTTTTTCATATATTATAAGAACTGCTTCTATATATGATTCGAAAGCTAGAAGCCACTCAGATATGTCGACAAGTTTATTGCTTGCTAGTCTTTTTTTAATGGTTATAAACCCTCCATCAGATGTTTGCAGAGGTGTATCTTCATGTTGGAACTTGGTACTTGCTTTTACATTTTTGTAAGCAAATTCTTGAAGGTCAATGTATGCTCCAAATACAATTGACTTCCATAGTCAGGTTGGTAAGTTGGGCTTACATGGAAGCATTTCAATTATTTTCTGCTCTTCGGGCCAGTTTGATATCTACTATAATCTTTTACTCTCAATTGTTGCTACTAATGGGTTCGAAAAACCCTGTACTACTGGTAGCTGCTTTAATGATGCATAATTTATTGATGGGTACTTACGAGCTTTGTGCATCATTGCCGATTGTATGTTGCTTGTATTTGATATTGATCCTATTGTTACTGGGTTAACTAACATATTGCTGAAGGTTGGAACGGAATTCTGGTTGCTTAGTGGTGCTTCTTCTCTTGACTCTGCTGGAGAACACACTGTCAACAGTGTTGTGTAATTGGCTGCTATATCATTAGCTGGTTGGTTGTTATCCGGGTTACTTTCTTCATCAATTAGACTGACTTGTTCCAATTTACTAAAGCGCTCATTTAATGTGGTTTGTATCCAATGCTTTTGTGTTTCAGCTTGCTGATTTAATAGATCTTTTACTCTCTCGAAGAGCGTTGTTATGGCCGCTTGACATGAGTTATCGATGTATGATTTAATTTGAGAGTCTAAATTCGGTGCTAGCTCCTTGGGTTCGTTGGACATTGTAGGTAGTTTTTTTTTTTTTTTTAATCTTATGTCTTCTTTTTTTTTTTTATCGAGAAAATTTTTTGATCAGGTTTGTTGAGACCGAATTTCCAATATCCCCGGTCCCTGCTATTTTTATTTGTCCTGCCCTTTTTTCTTTCATGCATCTGTGAGGCTATGCGTTGCTTGGCATTGATTGCATATGCCATTGTATCATTTGCATATGCCCTTCGCATTCAATTAGTTTCCTTTTGCGACTTAGCGACCCCGGCTTCGTTTGGAGGCCCTGTGGCGTCCACGTGTTGCTCCCTTGCTTTTCGATCACGTGATCTACTATCACTCCGCAAAAATCAATTTCTCATGATCCAACTTGCTCAAATTCTATAAAACATTTAAAGCACATAGTAAACATTATAATAAATTTGTATGCCAATTTGATATAACAATTATTTTTTAAATAACGAAAGGCAATTACTGTAGTGTTTAGATTGGCTTTGTAAGATTTGAGCTCTTATTTGTAATAATTTTCAAATATTGGACCTTTATTAGTAATTATTTTCATTTTGGACCCTATAATTTCCCTTAATTTTCCTATATAAAATTTAGATAGGATAAAATATACATGATTCTGGAACATGCGCATGAATACATATTAATGCGCACGATTAAAGAATCATGCACATACATGAAACCCATCTCTAGTCGTAATGTTTGTATAATTTTTTATTCGAATATATCATTAGCATTAATACAGTTAGAGCTGGATCTGTTGAATATCCACTGTGACTATTCAATGAATATTCTCAGGTTTTTGCCATCCACAGATGATATTGAATGAATATTCAAATTTTATATGGATGTTCACGTAATAGTAAAATCATAGATTATTCATCTCGAATATTCATGAATTCTGTGCAAAAAAACTAATAATACTCTACTCTAATCCTCATAGATCTCGGCTTTTAATACAGTTCATGGAAATTTTATACCAAATTTGACAAGTATGATCAAATCTTATATGATTATTGATCTGTTATTAATTAGAGTAGCTACGCAACGCAATTGTGCTAAAATTGGAAACATGGTATAATGACAATATTAGCACTAAAGTGCATTATAGTACGTATGCTGTTTTTTGAAAATCATTTTATTTATCGCAGCTGACTTGAGATAACTATGAAAAGTATAATACATACCATTACAGAAAATGTAATAGGGATGGCAAATGTTTTAAAGAATATAGCGCTTAATGCTGGACCCAAAATTTACCGGCCAAAAATGCAATAATTTTGATGTTTGTCATGCGTATATACGGGATCGTAGTATAAATAATAAGATAGCTGCATAGAAAGTGATGCTGTGCAGTGCGATCACACGTGCAAAATAAATTCAAAATACACATGATAGTTGCGTGCTAAAACTAGGAGCAAGGATATGGCGGTGCTAGTAGAAACCAAGCAAATTATTTTTAGTGAATTTTTTTAAAATTTTAAATCAAAATATCTCAACAACAATTAAACCAAACTTGATAAATTTTTTTTATTTTAATTCTATAACTACATAGAATTAAAATAAAAAAACTTTATTAAGTTTGGTTTAATAGTTGTTAGATATTTTATTTCAAAGTTTTAAAAAAATTTACTTAGAAACAATTTGCTTTGTTTCTACTGGCGCCCCATAAGTTTAGATCTAAATAATTTAATTAACATATGTGATATATCTGTGATTGAGTTAGTTGCATTCAAATTATTGTGATTTCTATCATGGATTACAGTAAAATCTTCTTTCAAAACTTATTTGATATCTCCCTAATACATGGAATGTGTTAAGATCTAGTTAGTTTATATCAGAATTATAGCATTTCTATTATGAGTTGTCATAAATATTGCAAAAACTTACTCGTTATTCTAGTGGTATCTAATTGTTAAGATTGCATTGAGTTTGTATTAGTATTATTGTAAATTTCTATCATGAATTACTGTAAAGTATTTTGGTACAGAATTTACTAATATAATACATAGTTATCAATATTAAGGTTTAATTAGTTTGTATTGAAATTATCATGATTTGTGGTAAATATCTTGTTATAAACTTACTTGTATTCTAGTGATCGCATCAAGTGGCCAAAGTTGATTGATTTCAACTATTGGTTATAGTAAAAATTTTGTCAGATTTACTCATTGAACCTAGGTGCCGCACAAAAAATGCGCGGCAGATCCTCGATTTTGATTGGCCAAAAAAAATTAAGCCGGAATTACTCATAATTTTACTAATGAAATCGCAGCCGCCCATTAGCGAAAATTGTTCCTGGGTCAATTTTACCATAATGCGTGCTTATTTTTTAAAAATTTCTATTTTTGCAATGAAAAAATTAAAAAGTTAACTCCGGCCGGAATTTAGTAAACAATTTTGTAATGCAGACCAAAATTTCGAAGATCTTCGGCTGTTAGCCAATCAAAATCGAGGATCTGCCGCACATTTTTTGTGCGGCACCTAGGGTAAATGATTTACTCGCTAATGCGTTACATATAGTGTTTAGGGTTGAGTTAGCTTGTATTGAAATTATTGTGATTCATATTATTGAAAAAATTTATGATGAACTTACTTGATAATTATAATACATAGTTAAAATTGAATTGAATTAGTTTACATCAGAATTGTCATGATTTCTATATGATTAAGATCATGTTAGTTTGTATTAAAACTATTATAATCTCTACTGTAAAAAATTCTATTACAAAACTTACTCTCTATTTCGACAACAAAAATACATGGTTAAAATTAAGGTAGTTTGTGCAAAATTGTACTTAAGATAGAATTAGTTTTATTGGACTATCATGATTTATCTGTAATTGAGTTAGCTTGCATCAGAATGCATCAGAATTATTATAATATATTGTTAAAAGTTTACCTCAAAATTATGACTTCTATGTGATTAAGGTAAACTAGTTTTCAATTAAATTATCATGAACTTTATGTAGGGGGATTATTGATTTCTATTGTGAGTTTCTAAAAAAAATTCTGTCACAGTGCTTACTCACTATTTTAATAACCACAGTATATATGTGGTTAAGTTAGTTTGCATTAGAACTATTTTGATTCTATGTAATTAAGGTTTGGTGGTTGTATTGATTTCTATTATAATAATTCTTCACAGAACTTGCTTGTTATTCTAGTCACCAAGTATTTGGTTATAGTCGAGTTAGCTTGCATCAGAATTATTATCATAAAAATTCCATTACTAAATAACTATTCTAGTGTGTGATTTAGTTAATTGGATTGGATTAGAAGTTAATAAATACAACATTCAGATAATAAATGAATGATAACTAAATTACAATCATGTTGAGACTAATAAATGAATTACAATACTATATTATCTGTAAATGTCATAGTTATTATGTAATTCTGGTAGTTGATTTGCAATGTCAATTTTCATGCATAGGTCAATTACAAATTAAATGATGACATTAATTCTAGTCAATTACGAATATACAATAAAAAAAAAATGATTCAATGTAAACAATCAAAAACATTGCAACAATTAAAATTTTACAATCTTTCACATAGTTTATCTCCCTTATCGACACAGCAAAAGTTGACATGATTAATAATTCATGTCATCATTTTAGTTATTGTGCTTCAATAAATTGATTAGATCGGAAAAATGAGATGCCGATAAGAAAGTTAAATCATGTGGATGCTGTGTCGGTAGACCTGAAATTTTAATTTGTCTAAAAATTGTAATAAATCTTTTTTATATTCGCAGTATATCTGTAAGCTTACTAAATTTCTCGGTGGCAAATCTATTAATTAACGTCATAAAGCCTTTATTTTATTGCATGAGAAGGTTATAATTTTTATATTAAAGTTTTTTTAAAATCCATTAAATGCAACTATTGTAACTGACAAAATCATCGGATCAAAAATATTTCAGCTTACAAAATCATGGAATATTGGTAATCAAATTTGTCTGTATGAATTCAAGCTTAAATTTAAAAAAAATAATTAGTTAAATATAAATTTAATATGTACATTTTTTAATTAATTTAGAAATACTGTACAGTTACGTTTCACAATCATTTGTTAAAGAATTATTGTACAAGACGAAAAATTTTTTCAATCCAGTTATAGCAAAACCAATTGTCGAAAATAAATTTCTTAATCGATTTAATTTCAATGACTAGCCTTCCAGATGGTAATTTCAGAAGTATGTAAAGTTAAAAAAACTTATAAAAATTTAGTTTTAAAAATGAAACGTCTTTACCATTAAGGAACACTACTATTATTCTTTTTTAAGATACGATTCAGCGTTGATTATGAGAATAGTTTTTTTTTATAAACTATATTGTACGTATTTATTTGATTTTATTATCATACTTTTAAAGCAAATATTTTTCTTTACGCGTATTGTACTGTATAAGCGCGAAATACGCACAGGTGTGTAATTTCGAAATTTGACCTAAATAAGCCTAATTCAGGCTATTGTTCAAAATAATGCCCCTGCGCGTTATTTCGCGCTTATATGGTATTAAGAACTTTGTCATTCTAGTTTGTAAGAATTTGAAAATTAATGAACTCGAATAACACATAGATTGGTAATTTTCTTTATAGTCACGCACTAAAATAAACCGACTAAAATAGAATTAAAATGTAAACATTCGTGAACTTAAATAGCTTAATTCAAACACTTAAACTAATAAATTTCATCATATCACCTAAATTAATCCAAGCAAAATAAAATTGAATACATAGCAAGTGTTATGAACCTGAGTAGCTTATTTTAAACACATGCTGATAAATTTTCTTTAGTCATGAACTAAATTAAAGGAATATTCATTAACTTGAATGGCTTATTTTAAATGCTTTGATCAAATAAATTTTCATAGTACTTACCTAAGTTAATTAAATAGCATATAGTCATGAAAGATAGAATGAACCCGAATAGATAAATTTTCTTTACAGTCACACAAAATTAAACCGCAAAAAAAAAAAAAAAAATTAAATAGTAAATGTCAATAAGAATTTAGATTAATAAATTTTCTACACACTCAAAATAAAAGTAGCCATGAATCCAAAAATCTTAGATTAATAAATTTCTTTATAGTTCCGCATTAAATTAAAGCGAGAAAAATGAAATTAAATAATATACATTCACAAGCAGCTTATTTTTAAATACAGATTAATAAATTTTCTTTTGCTCATCTAAATATTTCTCCAGATATATGTGCTTTAGATCATCTAACCATTTTAAATTTGATCAAGATCTACAAGCCGATTTGACTGACGGGATGAAACTAAAAAAAAAATTATATTACAAAATCAGTTGCTTACCGAATGCAGTTCTTGAATAATTGTTGGTTTTTCATATAATATTTTGTATATTAATCAAAGAAAAAGGTTTTATTTGTAAAAACTATTTAGTTTATGAATAAACTTGCATAAAATTGTAAATCATAGGATCGATAATTACATGACTAAGCTACGTACATACCTTCAAAAAGTAGGATCATTTTTAGACCCACCATGTATTTCTAATCTTTATTTTTTAGAATTATCAGTAACAACTTCTTTTATTTTTGAATATGCTTTTTCACAAGCCGATATTAATATATTTAGTTTCGTCCTCTTCATTATTAAGAGAATTCTACGAGAACATCAATGGAAGATACAAAATCTTTTTATTCAAATTTCAGGGTTTACCTTGTTAATTTGAAAGATTTATTAATTAATATTTATGAAACCATTATTTAAATCAAAAAAAATTTTATTAATCAAAAACTACATAGTTTACCTTTGAATTGATGATCAATGGTTGATCGAATCAAAACTTGATGTTCGAAATTTATCCTAATTATTATTAATCGATTCCACTCTCTACAATTGAGAATCAAAGGTATAAAAGAATAAGAAAAAATAAATACTTATTCGCTTTCGCTTAAGATAAAACATTGGTAAAGTCAATAAACCCTTATGTTTATATTGCAGGATACATTCGATGTAGATTATTTTTTAAATCGAATTTTACTGTGAATCAGGTATAATAAATCGCTGATGAAAAGTATTGCACGTACGTACGTGATATGATGAAAATAGGGGAAACTACAATTTATAATACTGTACAGTAAATGAATTTCATAAATAAATTCCACAAAATATGACGAACATAAAGTGGTTATCTATGTTGATCATATAGAATTATTATACGTATTTTAAAACAGCGCATATTTTATGGACTCACGATCTAACTTAAATATCGATAATAGAGGCCTAGTTAGTGCTTAATGACTTCATTATTACGACCAATGGCTTGAAATTTAAAGTAATCAATTATAATTATAAAACGATTCATAATTATTTATACTACAATCTCATGTACACGCATGATAAACGTCATGGTGTGCTAGAATCATCCCATTTTTAATAATCACGGACTGTAGTGTAATTGTATCAACGTCCCTGATTTTAGCAATTAACCATAGTAATAGCCGCCGCAACAATTTGGACCGGCAGATTCTCAATTTTGATTGGCTAAGAGTGACGATCAAAAAATTAGACTGGAATTACTCATAATTTTACCAATGAAATCAAAGCCGCCCATTAAGTGAAAATTGTTCCTGGGTCAATTTTACCATAATGCGAGCCTATTTTTTTAAGAATTTCTATTTTTGTAATGAAAAAATTAAAAAGTTAATTCCGGCCGGATTTAGTAAGCAATTTTGTAATGTGGGCCAAAATTTTGAAGATCCTCGGCCGTTAGCCAATCAAAATCGAGGATCTGCCGGTCCGAATTTGTTGCATGTAAACAATCCTTTCCAAATTTGGATTTTTGGATACGTATTATATAAATTTTTACCCCTTTTTCCTCAATGAATGTTTTAAAACCCTTAATAATGAAGGAATTTGTTATGGACAGGTATTTGTTGTATTTTTTTAAAAAAATTTTTCAAAATATTAAAATTTTAATATTTAATTTTAGATATATTTATTAATCAACTACTAAGAAAGACTTTAGCGAATGCCCTCAAAGAAAACGCCACACTACGTTAAAACTCTGTGGTGGTGATTATCAATCTGAATTTGAGATAGAAAAAATCTATTTGAAGCGCTTTCTGAAAATAATACTCTAAAAACTTTACGTTTCAAGATTATAGTTGTGTTTCAGATTTGGGAAAGAAATTGGCAGAAACACTTAGCAAAAACACCGCGTTAGCTTCGATCGATCTTAATTATAATGATATTGGATTCAAATAGGTGTAAAAGTATAGAAATATTAATATTGATTTTTCATATAAACACCATTCTAAAGTTAAATTTTTTGGATATTTATAATTTTTATATTTGTAACGAGGGGTAATTTGGTAATATTTTCTCATTAGGATAAAATAAGTTTTTTTTTTTCACGACTTCAATATTTAATTTTAATGTAATATTAACTTTTTGCACTTAGCACTGAAAATTTTATAAAATTTTTTTTAAAGAATCTTGGTAAATAATGCTATAAAAATTAATGCCTAAACTTTGACAACTTCGTGAGCCACAATTATTAAATCAAAAGAGTAACTTAGACGATTTAGCATACTTGGTAAAGTCGTAATCTTATAATATTCTACGACATAATATCAGCTTTAGAATGTTAAACAAGCTCATTACAAGATACAATAAATTACTGTGGAGAGTCTAGTTCTTGAAAAATTGTAAAAATTTAAGGTGTTCTCGAGCACCTACATCAATGGACTTAATAATGAATATGATTGGTCAGTTTAATCAAACTAGCAAATCAGATTTTTTATTGAATGGTGCTTGAGAACGCCCTTAAAAATTTTTTGCATAAGATATTCTAATTATTCAGAACTGTTGAATATATTAAATTGTAAAATCAGCTCTTTAAAGATAGAAGACGATTGAAGCATCGATTATAGTATAAACTTTAGAAAAATCGGGACTATCACTACAATAACTCGACTAAAGCCCAAAATTTATACTAAGCTTTTAAAAGAATCATTATTGGTAAAGTTGATGCGACAGAAAAAAACTCTAATACGAGTTAAACAGTTTGCAAAAATATTGCTATCGACATTGCAATATCTTGGCTTAAGGGATAGTAGTACTTGAATAAAACTACGTATTTTTCTCAATCGTTGCAATGCATCTTTAAAAAAATTATTAATTGATGGTATTGATTTGGAAAAAAAATTAAGGCACAAATCGAATTCTGCATACGAAAAGAAACATTGAATTACGTTGATTATGGGATGTTAAATGATAATTTCAATAAAGTAATGGAAGCATAAACTACATTAGCACTATTTAAATGAATTAAAATTGATTGCTAATTAGTTGCGCGAAGTTGTGAATGAATAAATTGTATTTAGGAAATGTGTATTCAATAGAGAGTAATAAGTAATAAACAAATTTTTTTTTTTAAGGTATTTAAAAAAAATTTAACAGCTTGCCTATTAAAAATAATAATTATATTTTTTCGCAAAATTCTTGATGCATTTAACGGAAATTGATTTTAATTATTAAGTATGTCGTGTGTCATTTTAAAAATATCAAACATTATTGGAAACAAATTTTAATCTGATACACTTTACCAATTTTTGCTTGCATGATCAAAATCAGTCCTATTGTTAAATGGATTGAAATGGATAAACATATAGATTTAATTATTACCAAAAATCAACAATTGTTGGAATACTACTTCAGTTAAGTAAGAAACAAATCCGGATAATGCAGTAAAACCTCCATAAGTGCACCCTCTATAAGTGCACACCCTCTCTAAATGCATGCTCAAGTTCTGGCCCAAATATATACATACTCTCTATAAATGCACTTTTTCTTATTAATCTCTAAGTGCACGTTGTTAAAGCTTGGTCCCAAGGGTGTGCACTATAGAGGTTTTACTGTAATCTCTAAAGCTTGGTCCCAAGGGTGTGCACTTATAGAGGTTTTACTGTATTACCAATCCTATAGTCCAAATTGTTCTTACAAGTTAGTAAATAGGTTAAAAGGATGAAAAGGATGATCATAGAATTCATTATTATAAAAATCAGCAGCGATTGGGATGCTGAGTGGAATATTTCCATTTGCAATTGTTATGGAATAGGAACTAAAAAGGATGAACATAGGTAAGTAAGAAACTGATCTGGATAATGTTATCAATTTTTGCTTGCTTGATCAAATCAATCCTATATAGTGCAAACAGTTATTTTCTCTACAGGTCATTTACCCTACATCACACAGGGTGTTGATTTAATAAGAATATATATCTGCGACTAAGTAAAACGTTAACCCCAACCTATGTGATGTCAGATAAATAACTGCCAGAAGAATGAGCAGTTACCATATCGCTCTTACAAGCTATTACCGTTGAAAAGATGGACATAATATAAGATACATTAGAACTTTTTAGGCAAGAAAAAAATCCAGATAATATTATCAATCTTTGCTTACGTGATCAAATCAATCCTATGCCCTAATCGTTCTTACAAGTTGTTAGCGTCGGTAAATGGATTGAAAAGGATGAACACAAGATACTTTAAACAATTTTAGATAAGAAACCAATCCAGATAATATTATCAATCTTTGCCTACCATGAGCAAATCGATTCTATGGCACTATGCTGTATTTTTAGGATATAATACTTATAGTATACTAATCTAAATCAAATTTAGGTAACAAAATTGTGGAAGGTACTCGCATCAATTTAGTTTAAAACCTTCGCTACTACAATCACAATAATTTAGAGCTCTTGATTATTTAACAAGTTCTCTTATAGAGATTATCGTAGGATTCAACCACTGATATTATTATACAATTATGATCGATAATCGGCATACAATGAGTTACGTCCTAATCCTATGTTACACGTTCCTATATATTATTTATTCCATTGTATATTACACTGTGTCTCTTGGTAAATAAAAAAATACAACTAAGATTTTTCTATTTGACCTTCTCATAATCAAAATTTTGTGCAACAAAAAGTCATCTGCGTACTGTTATTACCGTCTAAAATATTTCACAGAAATATAGATCAATCAGATTTGTTTTATTCATGGCTGACATTAAAAAAATATATTACACAAATATGACCAATTAGATTCATTTTAATTCCGGGCAGATATTAAAATTTAATATAGTTATAGATATAGATATAGATATGGATAGATATATAAAGATTTCTTTTATATACTAAGAAATTATAATCTAATTAAGCCCTTGAGTTAAATGTTACACAGTTGTCATCTGGCCATTGAATACGGCTAATGGTGACCAAATTAAATAAATTATTTGCCAAGACAGCCAAGCATTTATTGTAGTAAGACCAATAATCTGATTAGTTATTAAAAATTTCTGGACAAATAAAATGGCGTTGTATATTGATCAGTGAAAGAAAAAAAGTGTTTGGTGTTACGAAACTTTTGTTCTTAAATTTTCTTTGTTATATTTTTATATATTGTACTGGCATTTCTTACTATATTTGTTAATGCTATTGATATGGTATGACTGTGCATGGTTTAGAACCACAGATATTGGTTCGAGACCATAGAACTTGGCTTAGGACCATAGATATTGGTCTAGGACCATAGAACTTGGTTCGGAGCCACGGATCTTGGTTCGAGACCACAGATCATGGTTTCGACCATGGCTAATTTGCAATGTATAAATATGACAGATAAACTGATAAAGAGAAATAAAATTTCAGAAGAATTCCGCCTGAGCCATAAATGAAATAAGTTTCTCCTACGGTTACAACATTGGCCACAAAAATTGCCAACACTTAATTTACACCAACTAAATCGAATTTATTTATTTGCCAAGACTTTCTAATCCTGTGTAATATGACACAAATGGTGATTTATACCAAAGATTGATTGAAAATTAGTCGCGTCTTGAATTGTGATCCTAGCCGCATATAAAAAAATCAGGTAGGTTAATTTTTCAGTTGTTTACAAAAAAAAAACAAACTCAGCCGCTTAATTTTATATGGAAGACTATATAAAAAGATTATTCAATCATTTAACCAATTACAGAACTTTTACTTGTTAAAAGTTTTCGGTAAGTCGATTGAAGAAAAAATTTCGATCATTAGGCTTCGCAAAGTTAATTTTAGTTTTGCATAAACTGCCGACCCAATTTTTTTTTTTTTTTTTTTGAGCTCCAATTGTTTCAATTGTTATTTAATTTTTTTAATAAATTTATCCGGTGTCACCCGATGGTGACCATAATTTTCTGGAATTACCCATGGCCCGCTAAAAAAATTTCCAAAATTGACTTGCGTGGAATGGAATTTCAGAACTCCAGGTTACGCAAAACGAATAATTAACTTTGTGTGACCTTACTTTAATAAATAAAGTTTTATGTTACTCCTGTGTCACTGTCACGTAGCTTCTTAACCTACTGTGTACTCGTTCAACTTTATTATGAGTCTCTACTCGCTTAGCTATTATATACGATGACTGGAGTATCGTACCAGATACTACCACCGATAATGTATTCACACATATAAGACAGTTTATTCACTAAGTGTCAAGGTAATTATTAGAACGAAACTAGGCACTTCCCCCATTTGGATCGATGCCTTATATTAAGTACTAATGCATATTTTGCGTTACTGATTATTACATCTTTATGCAATCACTTTTAATTAATTTCATGCAAACCCGAATCACGCCATTCATCCAGATCCCGATCCGAACACAATACCTGACCCTTGTGCTACGAATACATGGGTATTGGAATACACAGCGACACTATGTGAAAATTTGAAAATAATCAATTACCTATACTGTAGATTGTGGCAAGTAATAATACCGCATGTAGCAAAATTAATTTACATATTACAATTCATCACTTGGAAATGGTTGCGTATTTTATGATAATTACTGCTAATTTTGCAAAATTAATTTTCATATGACCATTCACCACTTGGAAATGGTTGTATATTTTAAGATAATTACTGCCAATTTAGGCAACACTGTTGATAATATTTATTTCGCTAGAATTGAGGTAGACGCATAATAATGTTCTTCTTCGTGTCACTAATAAACATACTGATTATACAATCAAATGATCAAATATTTAGTACTAATTTAGGTAAAACTGTACCAGAGGTGATATTATTTATTTCGCTTGAATTGAATTCCGTAAGGTAGACGCGTAATAATGTTTTTCTTCGTGTCACTAATAAACATACTCTTTTTACAATCAACTATAATAAGATAATACAATTTTGGTAATTTCTATGTAGTTAAAAATGGGTTTGATACGGAGTTTGTTTAGTGATTGATGATTTAGTAGATTTGCATCTTATCGGATTGATTTTAAAATTTTATCATTATAAAAGAGGCAAAAAATCTGATGGAATGGATAAAAAAAATCAAAAAATAAAAATGAAAAATCTCAATCTTATACTTCTGATCTTGACCCTTTTAATGGTCGGCGTTATAGCAACTCCAATAGAAGATAAAGTTTCTGAGAATAATAATGTCTTGGATAAAAGATACACTTACGGGGATATTTGCTGGGTCGGAAGTTATGAAAATGCACCCTGCTATCCGAATTGCGGGTGCTATAATAGTGTTTGCAGATGTGTGCAATACCAATGCGTTTAATGAATTATGAGTATAATAAAGAAAAATATCGGTATATAACATGATTTTTTTATATATCAATTTTGTATCTTCTTTTTTATTAACAACTCTTTTCATAATTTTATAAGTCAGATTCACTGTGAATTAATCCGATATAAATTTCTTTTCTTATTTATTATTATAACATTGATATTTTTATCTTATTCATTACTATAACGTTACTTATAACGTTGGCATTTCTTATTCTTATTATATATTTAATGTTTACTTGTAGCAGTTAGTGAATTTTTATCAAATTCAAATTGTAAAAAATTGGGGCTTTTTTAAGCAACCACCCTTTTTTTTTTTAACAAACTTTGTTGAAGTGTCATTAAAACTGTTCTCAAGGGAGCAATGATTAACTTAATACAGTAAAAAATTGCCTTACTGTGTGCTCAACTTAAAAGAACTAATTATTGATTAATTATAAAGTACACTAACATTAAAGTTAAAAATTGTCATTATTTCCGTAGCGTAGCAGGGACTTAAATGTACATGTAAAGTTGAAAAATGTCTGTCTGTCCGCCACGTGTATACATGGGTGCCTAAATTGTCCATCTTAATAAAAAGTAATTACGGCATCTAGGCAGGCAGCCAGAATTAGTCTTATATAGTGCCGAAATTTTGAACTCTTTTCATCAAAACACATCATATAATATAGCTATTTCGAAGGGTTTCATATAAATACTGAAATGTTTGCCGAAAATACGATTTTTCAAAAATAATTTAGGTACCCAAGTATAGCCATGTGACTTTGTTGTGATTGGTCCATACTAGTACTTTTAATTGAAAAATGTCCGTCTGTCCGCCACGTGATATTATTTTTATTGGCCGAATTAATTACGAACTAAATTTTTTACATTATTTTTGTTATACCGACTTGTATTATTACATGCTAACCATTTCTAAAAGATTCCTTTGTTAAATTTTTTATATTTATTTTTGAATTTCTTGATGACAAAGGTTTTAATACGGTCATTAATGTTGGCAAATCTCAAAGTAACTAGATATTTCAAGCACATTCAGCAATTTTAAGATACAGATCATTTTCGTAATGAATTGGTAAATGCCAGTAAAGATAAAAATAATATTAAAACATTTGATTTAAAAAATCTTTCTATTCACAATTTGAAATTATTATTAAGTAAGTTATTATACACTATGAGTTTTACACCTATATTTGCATGTAAAAATATATATTTTACACTACAAAGAAAAAAAAAGACCTAAAATTCAAACTTAAAATCTAACCCTTATAATGAAAATTTTTAAGAATTCAGGTATAAAGACATTAAATTATTGCAAACAAAATCATGGGTGTAAACATCATAGATACGTTTAATAATAAGTGATTTAGATTATGTTATAAGAACGAATCTACTTAAAATTTGAATAAAGGTATATTTATGGATGAATGGTCTTACTTGAAGACCATGATGCAACGTTTATTTTTGAACTTATGCTTATTGCTTACAAATATCTTCTTGATGAATTGGCAAAATACCTTGAAACCTATTTGATTGAAACGAATGCTCATTGGCTTCGTCTAAATTTTACTCGTATCTATCAAAAAATTTTCCAAAATAATAAGCTTCGAGAATTACAAAAGTGGTGCAATGATATTGTGGTAAAATATCTGATAAGATTTTTGATTCTGAAGACTTCTTCTAATGCATTGATCTCACTTATTCTCACTTATTAGTCGAGATGATTTACAAATGGAAGAAATAAAAACATGGAACCGTGTTATTGGATGGGAATTGCTCAAAATCCTGGTCTACCATCCAATCCTAAAAACTGGTCCCATGAAAATGATCTAACTTTAAAGACTACTTTACGAAATTGTTTGCCCCAAATTCGTTATTTTCAGATGTCTGGTGAAGAAATTATAGATAATATACAACCATACCAACAAATTCTAGATAAAGATCTTTGGGATGATATAACAAGAAAGTTCATCTTGCCAAATCGACAAGTATTATCAACTATTCTCTCGCCTTGTACAATTTTAACACCAACATTACCTATTAGAATTACTGAACCTTCTTCAACAGTTATTAGTGAAGCAAATGCAACAGAAATTGCTTCATGGGTTGATAAAAAAAGAAGGTATATATTCAATAACAAATAATCCATATGAGTTTAAATTACTCCTTCGTGGAACCAGAGATGGCTTTACCAAAAATTTATTTTGGAAATTATGTGATAGCAAACACAACTGGTTGTAGTTATGAAAGTTAATGGTACTGATGAAATTCTTGATGGTTATTGGTTGGGATAAATATAGTTTCTTTAAAAACTGCAAAGATAGCTTTATTTTTTCATTGAAACATGGTACCGTTCAAAATTCTATTTTAAGTCGCGTAAAAACATCAGGAATTGCAATTGCCTGTGATTATGATTATGGGTCAATTTTTGGTAAAGGCTATGATTTATGCATGTCAAATAATTTTAATCAAGGTAGAACATGTTGGAATCGCCAAAAATCACATGAAAAACAAATTAGAAATGAATCTACATATGAAAGTTGTAGTGGATCATATTTTTCAGTGGAAGAATATGAAATATTCCATATTAGTAAAAAGCTCTAAAGTTTATACTAATTAACACACACTAGGCACAGTAAATGGTTCTAATGTTGTGTACTGTAAAACTTCTGATCAAAAAATCGAATGTATATATGTATGATAAAAATTGTTTTATTGCGTGCCTAACTCAAAAAAAAAAACCCCCTCAATAATTGACCGATTATACATTAATGTTAAACATTACCATTAATAAAATTAAATGCTAGTTTATTTTGCATATGTTAAACCCGATTTTAATTGTTAATAAAATCATTCTGATCTTTGTTGTGTAATTTGAAAATAGAACTTCATTATTTTTACGAGTGCTCAAATGTCTTTGTTACATTGTTTTGTATAATAGTAACTTATATTATTTTATATAAGTCGCTAAAATTTTACAGTTGATTAAAAATGGCAATAAAAAACTTTCAAATAATCTTGAAACTTCTTGATGACAAAGAAGATTTTAATATAATTATTAATGTTGGCGAATTCCAAGACCAAGATATTCCTAGCATATTCAGATACAGATACGAATTAGCAAATGTTAGTAAAGATATCAAACCACTTATTTAAAGAATATTTCGATCCAACAATTTGAGATTATAAGTAAATCATTTTACTGCATATATTACGATTTATAATTTCTATCACGCTGCAAGAATTCTAAATATAATTGAATTTTGCAAAGATATATTTATGGAGGAGTCATTTACTTTAAAACCATAATGAATCATTTATTTTTGAGCTTATGATAATTGTTTTTTGATGAGTTAGCTAAATTCATTGAATCACATTAAATTAAAGCAGAGGCTCATTGGCTTCGTTTCACTTAATCTCATTTATCAAAAAATTTTCCAGAATAATTAGTTTCAAGAATTGTGAAAATTGTACAACGATATTATGGCAAGGTACCGTACAGTAGCCAACAAAAGTAACGCCCGATTTTACTCAAAATGTAAATTTTTTTATTAATAAAAATTTAATCGCACATACATAATTTTTTTTTATTTTTTATTTAATATTTTGATGAATGATCATCTACAGCTGCAATAGCCTCGGTTCTTTGTGTCATTGAGTCTGAAACTGCACGAAGAACTGACGTATCCAAATTTGACCATGCCTCCGTTAGGGCCACCTTAAGCGCAGGTTTATCACGGGGGAAGTCATCACGATTCTGAATATTGTCCTTCATGATCCTCCAAATATTTTCTATGGGGTTTAGGTCAGGGATCTTGAAGGCCAACTCATATAATCTATTTTTTTTGATTTTAACCAATTTGACACCTTGTGAACAGGGCATTATCATGCTGAAAAATCGGATGGGAGTCGAGCAATAAACGAGCAGCGGCTATAAACGGTACGAGGTGGTCGTCTAAAACTTTGGTATAAATTTTTTTTAGTAATTTTTTCCTTGGGGCCTTTGTAATCATCAAAAAAAACCATGGGTCCTTTAATCGTATCCACATAACATGACCAAACCATCACTGAGACCTTCCCACTCTTAAAATTTGGTTGCAAACACTCATGTTTGTATCATTTATCCGCGCATCACCATACTCGAACTTGGCAGGATTGTTTACCGACTTCCACACTCATTTCATCAGAAAAAATGATACGCCGCCAAAAATAAGCGTCCTTAACTTTATATTAGTCACACCAATCTTTCTGTCCATTTATATTGCTTGGTGACAAGAAAGGTTTCATGGTAGCAACACAGGAACGAAGCCCAGCGTCATGTAAGGTTCTAGCTATGGTCTGCACACTGCATTGAAGGTTTAAATTCTTCACAATTTTGAGCAGAGGCATGCGTCTTTCCTTCAATGCTTTTTTTACTATAGCGGTCTTTTTTTGCTTCTTTAGGGTGGGGGATGTCCGGACCGAGGTAAATTTGCTATTTTTTTGGTCCTCTTGTACTTCGCTAAGAACTTTCGAATTGTCGTTGGGGCACGTTTTAGCTTTTTGGCAACTTGCTCAGCACTCATTGTACTGATAAAAGCAAGGACTATTTCTTTCTCTTTTTTATTCATTTGTTTGCATGGCATTTTCATTAAAAAAAAAATTATTTGAGTTCTTGGGCCTCTTGTTCAGATGTAAAAGAAGCAAAAATTGCCCCAAATTACGTATGTATGGGGTAAAAATAGCCCCTTATTTGCCCACGTGAGATTATCTGCAAATTGGGCATTACTTTTGTTGGCTACTGTACCATGATGAAGGTTTTGAATTAGCAGATTTCGTCTCATTTTAAGAAAATACCTTAGTCTCACTTATTTATCGAGATGATTTAAAATCATATTATTGAATGGGAAATTGCTCAAAATCTCGGCCCACTGACAAATCCTGAAGATTGATTGAGTGAAAATTTTCTAGTTAAAAATTATATAAGAGATCTCAAAATTTCCATTAAACAAAATGTTATAATAAAAAAATTACACCTTTTTGAAAACAGCTGTAAAAATTAACTTACTTCACAATCTATTCACTAAATTTACTACAATTCTTTCCCACACCAATTCCCTAATAGTAACAAATGGCAGTTTTTCAAATTCCCATAGAATTGCCTGCCTTAGCAGAATTCAGGTAATATGTAAACCCATCAATTTCAACTCCAATTCATGAAATTTAGTTTGTTAAAATCATCAATGATTTTTGTCATCACTTCATTTGACATTTTTGATTATAATAAAAAAAAAAACAAATTAAAATATTAATACATCACAAAAATACATACCGTATTTTATTGTTGCTTACAATCATTATACAATATAACAGTCGATTAAGATATCACGAGATCAGGTGAATGAAATTTTTATTATAAAACAAGCTGATTGTTTACAGTTTATTATAATGGAATAAATAGGTTTTCGGCTTTCATGAATTCCTTATAAACTGTAATCTCTAAGTATCTCTAGTTTCAAAGCTTTTGCTTTCCACGTCTTTTTTTTTTTTTTTGATAATTTGAATTTAAATTAATGCCTGAATTGTTTTAAACCAAATTCATTTAAACAATTTAGCTGTTCTTGAATTGCAGAAAAATTCTGGATAATATAATTTACTGGTTCATTCATTCCTGATTTAGGCTTCGCTTCGCCTTCATCATCATGCGGAGAAGGTTTCACCTAGCAACTATAGTAAAATACTTATATATGTATATGACCCAGTGATCTGATTGGCACAATCTTATTTGTTAATTAGGCGCTTGAAATCTATTTTTTCATTTATTAATAACATTCCTTGTGTAGAGTGTGATGATTTTAAATGGTATTGCCATAGAATTAACCAACATCACTGTCTAGTTAGTTATTACATTATTGATTACTATTTCTAGTTGTAATGAAATGTTGTGATTGTGAAGATGCTACTGTAAAGTGTAATTTATAACAGCCTTAGTAGTACTGGATTCACTCTATTTTCCGATCTTCTTATATCAATCTAACCTGTTAGTGATTTAAAATAATCAGAATAAATTTCATTTTAAATATTTAATCGCTAAGATTATTACAAAATCAAAAGAAATTATTATAGATATTTAGCATTTTACTGTATTAAATATAAAAAATTGGTAATATAGATCTATTCATATTGCTTTATACATTATTTTATATATTAAGAATTTTTATGCTATATACTTAAAATAAATTAAACTCACTATTGGTAAAAAATTTTAGCAAATTTAGGTTTTTATATTATTATTAAATACAACTTGTAATTGACCATCAATTTCAAGTTTGAACTGAAGATTTATTATAGTAAAACTAGTAAAAGCTGGACTTTTGTAAACACATCTAGCAAAGTATATTGTAGCAAATCCATATATTTTGATATATTTGTTATAGGAAGATCATATCAACTGATATTCATGTTTTTCATTATCAGATTTGTAAAGCATCTTTTAATCTTTGATTAATTCTAAGTTTTTTTGATATTGATCATTGTTTTTGTAAGCTTCTATTATTTGACAATTATTAGCAAGTGTAAATAATGAAAGTCTTAAGCTGTTTTTTGATTCACATTATGCAGATTATACATTTCTACTAAAAATCCAGTGGCTTACTATCTTTTGAATACATTTACTAGCATTTGGTCAATATCATTAAGTTGATAATTTTGTGAAAAGTGAAAACAACTTTTGGAAATGGAATAGTTAGAGACAACAGCCACATAAAGCCAATGATTGAAACAGATTATAAACTAAAAATAATTAATATTGGAAAACTCAAAGTCCTAAAATAGTGCTTTGATTTATATATATTATAATAATAAACTATACAAATCATGTGTTCATCAAATTTTCTTTAGTTTATTTTGATTGTTAATTCAAATCTATAAGCCAGCTAGTTATTAATGTTAATGAGTGTCAACATGTTTCAGACTATTTTCATTTGCATCTTTATCCTTTGTTTCTATGATAATCCTATATTGAAAATTAGAATATACTGTGAAAAGCAAATATTTTAAGATACTAGTGAATTCTTTTTGAAACATATTCTAATAGGCTGTTGTCATTATTGAGAGTTTTTTGAGCAAATATGTATTACACAGCAATGTGCTATATAGGTTAAATGTATAAATTATTTAATAACCCTTCTTTTTAGCATATAAATCACTTGAACTATTGTCAATAGAAACAAGCATTTTAAAAAATTAATACTCTAATTTTTACAACAATTGATTTTAAAGAATGCCTTGATTATTTAAAGGTCATTACTTGTATTTTCTTTTGAATATTTAATCATCAATATAGCTTTAAAGTTTATCAGATATGAGCTATAAAATTAAAGTATTAATTTTTTAAAAATATCAATCTGCCTTATTTTTATTGACAGAGTTCTTCCTTTAATGAAAATTCTATTATTTAGATAGACTACTTTATTTAGTAATTTACATAACCCAATTTTCAAAAGGTAGAAAAAGAATTAATATTATAAAATTTTTTATATAAAAAAGAAGGAAGAAAGAGAAAAGAAAAAATTTTATATAAGAATTTATTTTGATCAAAATAATAATCTTTCTAAATATACTAAAATATAAAAAGAATATAAAGGTAATATAAATTATTAGAAAAAATTAGCTTAGCTTTACTGTATTTATAGTTGTTTTTAAAAATGTACAAATAGTTGCATATTATCATATAATAGAAGATATTTTCCAAATTTTTAAATTTTCAAGACCTCTTAATTAAATTTAATTTTACTAATTAAATTTTTTGATTCTTTGATTTTCTACATAGTTATATAGAAATTATTGTTTACATATTATTAAAAATGGCTATAAAATAGTTTTGCATAATAACTACCTCTATAATGTTTTCTATTAACTATTGAGGGTCAACTTTATTAATAAACAATATTGGGTTAATAGTTTTAAATTTGAGCCCACTTATTATAGAAAGTATAGTTTTATGAAAAATTGGTAAAAACTATTTTAATTCTTCATAAATTCATTGATCTAATTAATCCTTTAGCAAGTAATTTATTATTATCTAGTTTATGATACTTTATTACCAAAAAAGAAAAAAAATATAATAGATAACAATGAAAGCTTTTTGATTTCTTCAATTATTAAAAGTTTATCTATATATCTGAAATGTGAGAAGGTATTTTTCTTTCTTTAAAGTGAGTTGCAAATAGATTTTCAGAAATTGGATTATTCTTATTTAAAGTTTATTCTTGTCTCAAATAAATTATATAAATTTTGAATATAATCAATTTGTTATTTTTAAAAAAATCTACTATAATAGTAATCAAAGTAGTTTTTTTACTTTAGTGACATTCTTCTACAAATATTAAATACCTATCTGTTATTATTTAATTTAAATTATAAATAGTTTTTCTAAAGTAATATAAAAATTAATATATCTATTAATCTTAATAAAATAATTTTTAAATAGTTAATATAAATTTATTTTTTTAAATTTAATTTTTATAACAAATTATTTTTTGCAAGTTACTAAGTGGGCTAGAATTAATATACTTAGCAATTGGAACTAAGACTAATAATTTTTCTTTATTATTTCTATCACTAGTTCTCTTCTCCTATAGAATATACTGCAAGTATGTGATTCATTATTATATTTCAAAATATTTAATAAAAAATCTATGTGATTTATTATTATATTTCAAAATATTTAATAACAAATCTTTTAATACTAAGATCTTATTATATCATCTTTAAAGATTTTCTTTAAAGTTTCTAACTCTATATTTAAAGTGTTAATACAAATTTCATTTGTGATTTTAGACTCTTTATTGTTAAAAACTTAATATAAGAATCTATATTACAATTATTATGTGGCATATTTAACCAATATTAGTAATTTTAAGATTCTTAGGAGAAAATTTTTTAATTTGTATTGTTGACATGTTTATTACATATGAACTAGAACATGAATATGCAGGTAGTTTTGCTGTCTGTTTAAATTATTATGTGTAGAGGCTAAATGTATTTTCATATTTAAAATAATTTGAATAAAATGATAAAGTGTAAATTGATAGTAAAGATTCACAACTTGAATAATCTAGTTAAATTAGGGTTGGGTGTTCATATGATAAAAACAACCCCGAAAATAGGGTTTTTTATATAAATTTGAATTCACATAAATTCTGTTTTCACTTATAACATATATATTCACATAGTAAATTAAATAAAATGAATTCAAATTTCTTGATACCTAAATGTCTTATCTATTTTAATTGGTGTAAATAAAACAAACTTAATGAAGCTATACAAGAATTCACAAATTTAATGAATTAGAATCTTTGCAAATTAATTTAGATGAAATAAATACTTAATTGAGTAGAATTAACATAAATAAAATGAGTAGGTGATATTTCACCAACAATCACTTCATTGACAATTAATTCACAAGAAAATTAACAATTACAGCTGTTTTGAAAATTAGTGGGACACATGATGAATTTTGTAATGATCATTCAAATTTTGGTAATTATTTTTTGGTAATAACAGTGTAGTTTTTTGATAATATAATTTTTCGGCCGATATATTATTGCGGTATCGTTTGTTTTGATTTTCGGAATAATACGGAATGTGTTGTAACAAACCATCCCGGATCAGTCCGAAACAAACCAAAAAATAAATTACCGAAATTTGGATGATCATCACAAAATTCACATGTGTCCCACTAATTTTTTCACCGACAATCATTTCACTGAAGCTCATTTCACCGAACCGACTAGTATTTTTTATAAATTACACTAACATTAACTCTAATTCTAACTTGACGTTGAAATGAGCTGTAAGTGAAATAATTGTTGGTGAAATGAACTTGTCTGTGAATTAATTATCGGTGAAGGGATTGTTGGTAAAAGGCGCACCACTTAATAAAATAAATATTCGATAATTAGTGAGACTCTAGATTTTTAATGTATAATAAATAATTAATCAGTTTCGATCAGCTCACCAACAAACATTATAGTTACCGGCAATTTATTCACAGATAAGGTCTATCTTACAGGCAATTAAAGGTGTTCTCAAGCACCTCAATCAAGTGATCGAAAACAAAATTTTAATTAGTCGGGAATTAAATAAATGAATCAAATGAGTTAGCTACCTTTCCGATGACAAAATCAGGGAGACACAACCCACATTTTTTCTTCAAAATTTACCATTGATATAGGTTGCTCAAACGCTACTTTTACATTTTTTGCATTTCAAACATAATAAACAATGAATTCCTCAAAAGATAGACACTTTTTTTAAAAAAGTTCGAAGCTATTAAAACAAATAATTGATACATTAATATGAGTGTAATAAATAAAACAATCTTTTATCGTTAACCAAACTATAAATAATACTATTATTCTATTTTTCACTCATTTAAATTTAATATCTTCTCAGTAAAGAAGACCTAAAACTGAAAGTAGATGTTTTTCCATATTAAAGAATTTAAATTATTAAAATCACCGACGTAACTAAAGTTGAAACTTTAACGATTGATCGAAAAGAATTTTTTTTCATTAGGTTTTTTTAGGTAGTATAGCGAACATTACAAAAAAACAGAAAAAGTATGCTCAAGCATTTAATTCTATAAATATCGTCATCAATTGTGATGCTTGAGCGTTATCACAGTTATTATCTGATCAATTGATTTAGATGCTTGAGAACAGCTTAATTCACAGACAAGTTCATTTTATAGACAATATATTTTACTAACAGCTCATTTCACATTAACCTTAAGTGGTATGCCAACGATCATGACCAGAATTGCTTTGTATGTGAAATGAGCTGTCGTAAAAATATACTGTCCGTGAAATAAACTTGTCTTTGAATTTATAATCGGTAAAATATTTTTTTTAATTAATTGTCGTGAACTAAGTTGTCTATGAAGTGATTATTATCGGTGAAATAATACAGACCATATTGAATAATGAACAATAATATCAGTGAATAAATCAAATATCTATAAGATATTTGAGGCCGCTTCCACGGCCCAAACCATCTCACAGATACTTGATTTATCATTTATTTATAATTCCATCCAATATTTTTTTTACCTACCATAAGAAAATTTATTTCAATCAGTTAAAGCCTAAAGTGACAAAATGATAAATTGAGGAAAGGTGATGAAATTAATGAAAAGTAATGAAACTGGTGAAAGGTGACAAAACTGACAAAAGGTGTGAAACTGACAAAAGCTAACAAAACTAATGTATTCAGAAATATGTACTAGTACCGCAATAAACAGGGTTATAAAATTTTATCTCATGAGTTATTTTATTTGTGTAAAAAAAAATGAGGCTTATAGAACAGGATTCAAAAAAAATAAAAATCGACTATTTTTTCAGCCTCATTGTATAATATGAACACCTGTTTGCAAATCGTTGAAGATCAACAAATCCTTTCTAAGGAACTTTGACAATCTAAGATTATCAAATAATCAACCTGGAAAAAATCCGAAAAAAAAGATGAAATGGCCGTAAGTTCGAAAAGTAATATAAAACTCATGTTGAAATCCTCGTATATGTTAAAATTATTGCATATTTTAGTATAATTTATTATTATTACGATACGGTTTTGATTTTTTTTTTCGATGAATGAACATGAACATGACGAACATGTACATGAACATGAACATATAACTATATAATATTGGAAGGAAATTATTTTTGACGATACATAAAACAGTCCGTACATAGAAAGGCTGAAAAATAAACAGTACAACATATATCACACTATACAATCAAATATGACAAGACAAAATTATATTTCGCTGATAAGAACGATAATTATCTTTATCATTATGATTAACTATTTAATACATCTATTGCAATGCTACACACTAATTTTTATAATGAACTTCCTTGCAATTATACCATCAGCTTAAGTGCTGATAGTGAAATTTCGTACCATTCCGGTGAGGTATTGTTATCAAACGACATTATATTATAATTTTTAGCTATTTTTAATATTAATATTCTAATAATGCTTCTAGAAAGCCTATTGAATCTAACATCTAGTAATTCTGTAGAATTAATAGTAACCATAATTGTGTTGGTGAATGGTCAAATTCTTGTTGTCCAAGCAGCAGTTCTAGGGTCTATATTCTCCCATCTTTTGCTTGTATTAGGATTTTGTTTTCTCATTGGGAGAATCGAAATTCTTATTAAAAAACAAGCTTGAACAAGAATTTAGTTTGGCTGCTGCACAAATGACATATAGTGTGTTGACATTAGCTTGTATTTCTTTAGTTTTACCTTCCACATTCCGTCTTCTTATCAATTATAGCTTTTCCAATATTCCTACCATTATAGTTAATGATAAGATTTTGCACATAAGCTATGGAGCATCAATAGTGTCATTGGTTATATATTTACTCCATTTATGTTTTGACAAAACCTCATAAAATACTATTTGAAATATTACTGTCATAAAGGTGAAGAAATCAGAAGAAAAAAAAATGCGAAAATGAAGAAAACGAAGAAAGCAGAGAACAAAGATATGAAAATGAAAAAAAAACAGAGAACAAATAGATAAAGAAGAAAAGGAGTTAAAAGCATATAAACCTGATATCGTCATTAATTTTGCTAATTGTAACGACGGCGATTATTACTTTTTCAAAATTGTTACCTTTATTGCATTGGTTTTATTACCTATAGTTGGTCATGGTGCTAAGGTATTCAGAATGCTTATAATTAAACCATTACACTTTTTTAAGTATTTATATGCCTAAATTGTAATAGTATGCGAACGCTGTTAATACCGTAAGTAAAAATAAAATGGATTCGGTTCTTATTATTTCTGTTGGAAGCTCAACTGTAAGTTACGCAATTATATAACAATTATTTGTAATATTTAATTTTTTGTTTTTTATTTTCTCACAATAAATAAAGCAGTCTGCGTTATTTATTACTCCACTATTGGTGATTATTAATCAGCCTATGACTCTATTTTTTTCACAATTTAAAACCATTTGTTTATTTATTTCAGTTATACTCAAAAAATTATTTAGTTCAGGTGAGTATTCTTTCTTTTTAAAAAAAACTTCAAATGAACAACCCTATTTCTTAAATTTAAATTTTAAAATGGATATTTAACATAGGGTAAGTATTATTTTATTATCTTGCTAATATAGTACCTTAATGTCTTATCTTTATTATTAAATTATACTTCTAGATGGGAGATCAAATTAGTCAGAAGGCTCATTGTTAATAGCGACTTATTTGATAATAGCTGTAGCATTTTACTTTTAATCTTATTATTCATCTTATGTATATATAATTCTCACAAGATAACCATTATATTAAAGTATAAAGTATTTATTAGACTGACAAGAGTATTTTTGCGAGTTAATATATTTTAAACCTGGAGCTTTTATGCAATTTGATTCTTCATTCTATTCAGTGGGAAGAATTGATAATATCCAAATTTGATCGCTGGATCATGAGACACCTCGTTTCTTATTTTTAGAATTGTCTAAGGTTTCAAAGTGATTACTGATTGAGTTGTGATTTATAAATTCGTGATAGATATAAAATACTACTCGGCTCTAGATGATCCCCTTATTCTTACTATACTATTCAAAGATATTTCTGATTTATTGATCTATTAAAGCGAGGTTTTCATTAGATTCTTTTAGAGTGAAGAATCGAATTGTGCAAAAATTTTAGAATCTGAAATAATCTTAGTTTTTAAAATTGTCTACCCTTCTCAAAATTAAAATTTCTCTGGTAGATTTATTATACTGTTATTAAAAGACAGAATTTTTCATATCTAAATAAAAATTTTTATATTAAATACATATAGTACTTTAACTTCGTCAAAGTACCTGCTTTTACCTATTATTATTACTTGATCAAAACCATTTATTTTTTTCTTAATACATGTGAGAATAAGGTATGCACTTTATTAGTATTTATCAGACTATAATTCCATAACTTTGCGAAGATACTAAATGAGAATCATATCAATCAGACTTAGGGATGTTATGTGGTCCGGTCTTAGACTAATAGACCACAGTTGGTCTTAAGACCAGTCTGGACCTAAAAAAATTGGCCTACTCTAAGTCTTAAGACTGGACCTGTCTGGACTGGCTTAGACTAGATAAGTCTTAAGACTGAAGACCATAATAGACTTTGACCAAAATTGACCAGACTGAACTTGACCAGACTGTTAACATCCCTAATCAGACTCCTACATAAAAATAAAAAACAAATCGTTCTTTAATTTACAGAAATGACACAAATTGATCGCTTTTCTACTACAGTCATGGATCACATTCAATTCTATGTGGCCTCTGAGTTATAGCTGCGTCGTAATTAATTACGGCATAATGCCGTATCTTCACATTGCCTATTAACTTTATAATAAAATGTTTAAATAAAAATCTTATATAAATTAAATATATTTAAATTAATATAGTATAATGTAGAAAATTGGATTTAAGTGATTTATTATCGTAGTGCAGATTGTTAATTGATAGATCATAAACTTAATTATCTGTATGTAAATTTTTTTTATAGCTTCTCTCAGTTCTTTTTAACTCTACATTTTTTTTTTTTACATCATAACGTTTTGATGACAAATTTTTTATGTGGCTCCTTGCCTCATTTGGCTTGAACTCACTTCAAACAAAAACTACATTTATTTATATTGCAAAATTTAACATTTTTTTCAACACATATATCGATATATTTCAGACTCTAGTGTGTTGTTACTTGGAAATTGTCTCCCGATATCCCTATGACCGTTTTAAGTATTATCACGGGATTTTCAGGGATACTATGAACTTACCCCTGTTATTTAGCGAGTGTGATACACTTATCAACAACTCGAAGAAGAACTTGATTAGTGTCACGGGCTAATACACAACACAGATCGTCTTGAACCACCAAACCAATGATCTTTAAGGATCAAAAACGATCACCTTACTAACCTTCGTACTGACCCCATATTCGTATTACTATACACAGCAACCCCATTTTTCCAAATTGTTAAACTATACATATCACTTTTAATTACCATATCAGTCCCGATATTAGTGATGTGTAGTATAAGGACAACACATGCCGCGACATCAATAGTAGTCTCTAAAAGTGTCTATTCATTGCTGCGTCAATGATCTTGCTACCGAAATGGCTCTATTATCTCAACGAAAAGTTTTATACTGCCTGTGTTATCCATGCAGATGAGCAAGAAATGAATAAGCTTAATGCTTTTCACGAAATTAATATCAAGATCGTGACAGATCAAGCCCGGGGCGAGGCCCATTAAAGACAAAGACCCGAAGTGTGTGCATGTAATAGTGAAGGGATTGGTGTTGATAAGAATAGTGGATAAGTTATTAATAAATCAATAGATAATAATAGAGTTATAGTCGTCTATTGTAAATAATTATATGGCCACATTTGTTATATAAAGGATGCGAATTAGCCTAGTTAGCTCTTTAGTCTTCGAAATCCCTTTAATAGATAGATATCTTCATATATCCATCTCCCTTAATAGCCTAGTTTCGAATACTCCACTTTGTAATTCTTTAACTGTCTTCATACAGTTACATTATCGATAGTAATAAACTAAACTTCGTGTCTTCATACACGAACCCATTGATTGTTGTGTGCATCACGTGTGACTCGTGATCTTTTGTTAATTTTGGTGTCGTCACATGTGACTCATGACCTATCTTAATACAATACTACGTATCTTCATATACATTGTATTGTTAGCCTCTTTCGATAAAGCCTTACAAACCTCTTACTAAGTCGTTTATACGATGCTCTCTCACCTCACCAAATCATAGTAAAATAGTCCGTAATAGACTAATCCCACAGTTTCCGGTAGTTGTATTAGAGGTCAACTTCACGTATAACAGTGTATGCATTGTGATAAGCGAATTTGGCGCAGCATAACCTGAATCGGGCTGTGCTTAATTTTCTATTTCTATTTTGTCCTTTCTTTTCTATTTTTAGTGGAATTTCCATTTTTAGTAGTAAATTGACTCCATGGACTCGATGGGTTCCATTTAGTCGATTTATATAGTCTGTAAAACTTTGGTATTTAAGAGCCTTGAGCTCACCTTCAACAAAAGATATAACTCGACTTGTAGAGAGCCTATTTTTAAAAAACCTAAACATTTCGCTCCAATTACCCTCGATTACTCAAATTCACATAGAATTAGTAGTTTAATTCCGTGATCCCGAATTAGAGCCTCGTGACATAATCTAGAGCTCTATTTGACCCTAGTAACTCGGACCAAGTCTCTCCACGCCTTCTTTCGTGCCTACCACCATTAGGGTTAATGGAGTTTAGTAGTTGTTTAGAGTTGTGTTAGATAGTTTTAGTGTAGATTGATATCCATATCGCCTGATTTTCCCAGTTCCGATCAATTCTACACTCTCTAAGCGTACTTCTGTATATTGGCAAATATGTCATCTCACAGAATCAAGCTTTTTTCAATGAGATATATAGTATTAATTTTATCGATTCTAGAGAGATAGGTGTGATTTTATCTAAATTAGGCTTTCTGGATTTACAATCATAAAATGCAAGATGAAATTTTGGAATCAGCTTTACAATCGCAATGATAAAATCTATAGACCCTAATTTAGGCTAATTTCGAAATTCGCCATATGTGCAAGTTCATTAATACGTGTGCGTGATATTTCATGAAAATAATATTTAGAAAACTATGCGTACGAAGCCCAAATTTTACATTAGCCTTACTTGCTATATTATTAGGCCACACAAAGTTAATTTCTCGTTTTGCATTACCCGCCGACCCATTTTTTTCAATTCTTCGAATTTTTTTTTAAGTTCCAATTGTGCCAATTGTTCGATTTTTGCTATCTAATTTTTTCCCATAAATTAATCCGGTATCACCAGCATAGAGGGCTTTAATTCTGATTGGTCAATCATTAAATGTATCGTTACATATACACTGCATATATCATCTGACTTTAAATGAATT